AATTACTTGGCATAAGTCCTATCAGGGAGACTTTTATAAAAATTAGTATGTGAACCTCTTATAAGAACCATGCCCTCCTGAGTGTCTTCAAGAATGAAAAGCCCATTTCTTCGCTCGAGTAGGCACTGGTGAACTCAGTCAAGTCACCTGAGGTCCCTGCTCAGGGGCCCGCCTGCCCCGGTGTTCTGGACACGGCGGCATCTGGAAAGCACTCTCGGGGCTCCAACTGAACTGTATTTCAATAAGCAGCAGCACACATCGACTCCCTACGGACTGAATCAGTCCATTGGAGGGCACCCTACTTAAGGTTCCAAGGTTGAAGGAATTCTGTAATTCTACAACCTTAGTTTTAAAAAAAAAAAATACATTCAAAAGAGAAAACAAAACAAAAAGATGGGTGCAGGGTTGGGGGGGGCATACCAAGCAGGTCCTGAAAGATGACAGACCTAGCCCATCTACCCGCATACAGTCACCGCAGAAGTCCACAGCACCCCTCCCCCCACTGGGCTGAGCAGTGGTCTGTCCATCGTGGGTCAGGAAGTCCCAACCTGAAACAGGGCGGTCTTTGGGAACAGTTCCTCCAGCCTGTACAAAGTCTGCATGTACAGTTCGTCTCAAGTAACAAAGCTACTTTGCAAGACCCGCTTCTTTCCAAAATTCAAAAAAAATACTAGTCTGTATTCGTTTTAGTATAATTTTTGTGTTTTTTTTTTGTTGTTTTTTTGCAAAGCAGCATAGCAACATCGTGATTGTAGGATGTGCCTGAGGTTGTGGTTACAACTGTAAACATTTGCACGTCAGTAAAAAAACCAAACAGGAGAAGATAGGTTCTTTAAAAATCAAAATCAGCAACAAAAAAGGTCCAGTCGGAGAGCGGTCACTGCGCTTCTCCTTCGCACGGGCCCTCCTGTCGCACGGGCTGTCCTGCGCTTAGCTGACCGCGATCTTGTTTTCCTCTAGGAAGTGGGGGAACTGGTGTTTGGGGGCGCCGTCGGGAGCGCCCGGCTTTTCCGCGTCGGCGCTCACCGACTGAGAGCCGTCTATCTTGGAGGCCGTGGTGTTGCTGACGACGGAGCTGGCCCCCAGGGACACCGGGAGCGTGGGGATGCCTCCGCTCTGGATCACCGAGATCTCGTTGGTCTTCATGGCCAGCCCGCCGTTGAGCATGGTGGTGTACTGGTTCCACACAACAGGGTCCACGTTCACTGAAGGGGCCATGATTTCCTTGGGAAACACCTCTGGGACCCTCTTTGCATCTGTTCCTAGAAGAGCCATGGTGTTCTCGATGGCCAGCTTCCTCCCACGGCGTGCAGAGCTGTTGTTGGCACCATGTGTCATATAGTGGACCTATGGGAAGAGGGACAGAAAGGTTTCCATCCCAACAGATATGTGAGTGCATGTAGGCAAACCAGTCAGCCTGCATGTGGGTTTGGTTCTACCCAAACAGCAGTAACATAATTTATATTTAAAAATTAATTTCCTATGTAAAAACTCAGACGATCATACTATCTACTGCTTCTTCAACTTGACCTCCTTCCTGCAATTACCTTCCTGGCCTGCTTTTTAGTTTTCAAAGCCTTTTCAGCTTCTTTTAAGAGCTGGAGGTACTGGGTTTTCTCAGGCATTCTCATTTCATCGTCACTGACACCCTCAGAAGTTAGCAATCACCTCATCGGGCTCAGAAGTGACTTGCTCTTGATCCCTCTGAGAAGCTGTTAAGATGTTGCAGACATAATTTGAAACACTTTACTAGAACTCATTTAATTTCCAGGACAACCCTGAAGCCACTGTTACCAGGATCCCCATGTCTGGGAAACCGAAGTACAAGGAACATCTACCTCAAGCCCCTTGTGCAGCCAGAGGAGCTCCAGGCCCTCTCCTGGTGGACGGCAAGGCCTGTGAACAAAATTAAGCTTTGTATTTTTGGGAGTCGGTATTAGAGGTGAAGTTATTTCATGTTCCTGCTCTGGCAGTTTTGCCAACTGGACTGAAAAGAATATGTTTTGCAATAAGTATTTTTAATTTGTAAAATGAAATATACAGTAGTCTTCTAGGTCAATGTTGAGATGAACTTCCAACCTTTATTCCAACTACAAAGAATCCCACTAGTGTTCTACTCACTGGGGAGGGAGAGAGAGAACCGAAGAGAAACAGGCCTTGCATAAAACTCGAGTTTCCCGTGGGTCCCCAATTCCCACCCTATGTTCTTACGTAGGCTGCTTTCAGTTCTTACACGGGAGGATCTCCTCTCCATCTCCCATGAAATCTTAGGTGGAACCAACTTATCAAATAACAATAGGCCATTCTCTGGAAGAACCCAGCTGCTCTATTTGTGAATGCACTGCTGATCACCTGCAGGTACACCCAGTGATACTGTATTAGACACGTTTAACTGACAGTATTTCCTTCAACCTAGTAGGCTCGGAAACCAAAACCAATGTACAGTAGAGTGGCCATCAAATCGGGAAGCATATGAAATTCACAAATGATCGATCAATTCTCCGTTACTACACATGACAGATACCATCCATTTCCAGACTTGACTTCATACATGTACTAAATGACTGTTGAAAGGCATCATGGTCAGCTCTAGAACCCAAGGGACAATGACCCATGTCAACTTGATGCTAAGACAGGAGCAGAAAGCTGACCGTGTCCTGCTCCCAGACGGTCTTGTAAAATGCGTCATTATTTTATGTGCCGAGATTAGAAAAAAAAAAAATTACCAATTACAGAAACTGACAGCAGGAAGCATCCAAGCTCAGACGTAGTGACAGGAGGAAATATACTTCTTTTTCAAGATTATGGGGTGTCCCAAAAAAATGTATACACACTTTAACAGCTGATAACTCACTTAATTTTCACTCCTTTTCAGGTTTAACTGATTTAAAATAATTGGTGAAGCCAGACTAAGCTTTCTTTGAAAGAAGAAAATGTATCCTAAAGTGCCTCGAGGATTTTTTTATGGGGGTACATTTAAGATAAAGTTTATGGTACAACACCGTCAACAGTTGATGAATTGAGGGCGCAAAACAAAAGAAATGATTCTTGATGTTTGCAATTCCATTGTTTTATTAGCAGTGCCTGGACCAGAACAGTCCGTTTGAAAACAGGCATTGGCAAAAAAAAAAACAAAAAACCCTTATCCGTATTCTTTTAAATTTTGAAAATGAACTGTACGTTAATAAACGCTGACTTTATAATCATTCAAACTGTATACATTTTTGGGGGACATCCTGTATTTATTTGAAAAGCCAGTTGTGTGATATCCCACTTGCTCTTAGAAGAAGGTTCGTTATGGATGGAGAACACCAGGAGCTGCCCCTCAACGCCTAGCTCCCGTCCCTGCTGAAACCCTAAGAAACTCACCTTCAAGTTGCCTTTCGTGGTGAAAGCTCGCCCACATATGTTACACACGAAAGGCTTCTCCCCAGTGTGAGTCCGCTCATGGATCTGGAGGGCGCTGGCCGAGGAGAAGTTCTTCCCGCACCGCGTGCAGGCGTGCTGCTTGGCCTGGCGGCGTGGCTGAGCTGCGAGCAAAGGTGCCATGCCTGCGGACATGGTCGCCGGTCCAAACGCCCCTGGAACTTCGACTTTGACATAGGTTGGCTGGGCTCGGGCAAATGTTGACGGGAGACCGCTCCGACCTAGTGAGAAGAGAAAAAAATCCCCGAACTTTATCATCCCACACTCATACTCTTCGAACCAAAACAAGGCGTTGAAAACAACTGCCCACTGCTCGCCTGGCCTGGAAATGGCTTCCAGGACATTTACACCTCGGAAGCAGCTTTCCTTTGACTTGTTTTCCTGTGCGGGGAATATCCATGTCTCCAACATTTAGGAAAATTTGCCACTTTGGGATAAAGTTATGGGCAACACATAAACTCCTGCCTCCAAGTTCAAATTCCTACATAAAGAGTTACCTTCAAAGTATGCCCAGGAAACCATCCTTCTCGGACTCTACGATGCAGCTGTTCCCCCATTTTACCATTAAGGACATTAATAGGCACCCCACCATTTATATGTGTGTTTCAAATGGGTTGTATTATTTTCTACCCTGAGAGTTATTCAGTTGTGAATGGAGAAATTATGGTTTATCTCAGTGGCCAAAATCCAGTGCCAACTTTCTCAAAATTCCTCTACTCTTAAGATTACCCTTGTGTCCCCACGGGGCTAAAACAGTGAAACAAAAACCAACAAAGAAAGTGCGCTGTCCACAGCCAACGTGCATTAACTGTCATAAATCAGAGCAAGCCCTCACTGGGATAAAGGAAGTTACTCTCTCGCTCCACCCAGCAGCCCAGATCGGCCGCCTGCCCTACAGAGGAGCTGCTTCACATATACCACACTCTCCGTTTGTCACGTTCAACCCAGGTTCCTTTTGGATGACCTTGTGCCCAAAACGGACATAAGTAAATCCAAAGCTCTATCACCTTCCATCTCAGTGCGGCTGCTGTCCGAGCTGTCTGCTTTGCCGCCAGCATCAGGAGACTTGGACTTGACGCTTTCTGCTTGGCTGTTGGCCGGGGAGAGGGCCTGAAAGGACGTGGTCTCCAGGACGTCTGGACTTCGGCTCAGATACTCCTGGTCTCCCATCACAGAGGATGCCGAGTCGTTGGTCACACCGTCGCTCTCCACCGAACCATTTTCCCTGCTGCTCTGCCGCTGCAGGACCACAGGCACAGGGCCCACCTTCCCCGGGGCCTCCAGGGGGGCCGCTGTGGCGAACCCTGGCGTGGGCGATGCCGAGTGGATGCCGGGAAGAGGCACGGGCACCTTCGAGGAGCTGCCGGGGGCGTCCTGGGAGCAGACTTCCTCTACATCGATGCTTTCGACGTCATCGTGACAGATGGCACCGGCACTGCCATTCTCCCCCATCATCATCAGCTCAGGGCCCGTGAAGTCACAGGGACTCTCCGGCAGGGGGGTGTTGGGGATCTGACCACCCATGTGCATCCGAATATGCTGCTGCAACATGACCGCGTTGGTGAACTTCTTCTGGCAGATGGGGCATGAATGCTGTGTCTTTATGGATGTGTTGGTTCGGTGAACCCCGAAGTGTGTCTTCAGGTTGCCTTTGGTGGAGAAGGCGCGGTCACAGATCTTACACCGGAACGGCCTCTCCCCGGTGTGGGTGCGGTAATGCATTTTGAGGGAGCTTTGACAGCTTAAGACACGGTGGCAAATGAGACATTCGTTGGGGTCGGTGGTGGCCTTGTCAATGTTCTCCACCAGCTGCTGCAACTTCAGGGTCTCTGAGCCTGGCTCGGGTGTCCCTCTCCCTTGGAAGCCACCAACCCTTGGGGAATTATGGTTTGGCCCCACCCCAGACAGTAGGGATCCATCCTCACTTTCTGAAGAAGGCCCGGGCTGCAGGTCGGGGGCTAGCGGGCCACCCATTAGGTCCTTGGGGTTAGTCCCCGTAGAGAGATTCTGAGGTAGCCCTACACTGGGGGTCCCTGTGACCAGGACAGGTTTGCTGTCTAAAGAGAGACTCGATTCATCTACGAGGACAGGGACAGAGAGTGCATAAGGAACACCATTGCCTGCTGTCATTTTGTCGTGGAACTCGGCAAACAGCTGGGGGTTTGCCTTCACCTGGGGGTGTCGATGAAAGTGTACCTTGAGGTTGCCCTTGGTGGTGAACCGGTGGCCACAGACAGAGCACACGAAGGGTCGCTCTCCAGTATGGGAACGGAGGTGGATCTGCAAGGAGCTATCAGTCCCAAAAACCTTGCTACAGTACTTACACTTGTGCCTGTAGAGGGTGGCTTCGTCTTTGGGTTTGACATCCACCGGGGACACGTTGGGTGGCTTCCCTTTCCCTTTCTTGGACGGGTCTAATGCCACAGTGGAGAAAGGGCTCTGGAAGAGCACAGAGCTGGGGGCCGGGGGTATCAGAGCACCTGGGATGCGGTTCGGCAGCACCCTTGTCCCATCCGGCCTCAGGGCGAAGGACAGCAGACCCGGGGACACAGAGCTGGTGGTGGAAGGGATGTTGGCATGAGGTAGCTTGGCTTGTTTCAAGGTGTCCAGAGACAGACCCTGGCTTCCAGCTTTCTGGCTGAGCAGAGCCACGGCCGCAGAAACCTGCTGGGACACATGGCTGCCCAAGGTCTTCAGGGTGTCAGCTCCGGCCACGCCAGAGTGGAGGGCGTGCGCGGCCCACATGTTCACCTGGACGCGGATCTGCTCGGTGAGCTGGATCTGCTGTAGCTGCTGCTGCTGCAGACACAGGATCTGCTCCAGGACCCACGGGATGCTGTTGGCACCGGGCAGGGGGGCGGGCAGTGCGTCCGCGCTGCGCTGATTCACCGCCACCTTGGTGCCCCGTAGTGCTTGAAGAGTGACGTTAGTGTTGGCTACTTTGCCTTTGGGTAAATAGCTTAAGTCCTGGGGTGTGGGTGGCAGGGCGGTCTCCGCCTTTAAGTACAGGACAGACTCCGCCCCTGGCTTCTCCTTCATGTCCCCTGAGCTGCCGCCGTCCTCCCTGTGACTGTCCTTGCTGCTTGGACTGCGTGGGTGGTGGCTCAGCGCTGCCCCAGAGAAGTCTTCAGAAGGCACTGGCCCCTCACTGTCGTTCATGATGAGGACAGGTGGATGTTTAGTGCAATTTTTCTTATGTTCTACGAACTCTGAAATGCTGAAGAACTCTCCACAGCATTTCTCGCAGATGTGGGTCTCCTCCCGACGAGGCCTCTTTACTGCTGCTCGGTCCCCATTCATGTCATCGCCAGTCCCCGGGTGGTTCATTGGAGCACCTGTGACAAGAGACGAAAAGCTAAGAACTCTGCCCAAGGAAGGACAAGGGGCAATTTCTTGAAGAAGCATGACCACATACAGTGCAATAATCTATGTAAGGGAACGAGGCATCCAGAGTGTAAATAACCAACCCCTTGTATAGTGGGTCAAAGAATATCCCCCCAAATGTGTCTATTACTTTTTTAAAAAATGTATCTTTATTGATTTCACAGAGAGGAAAGGAGAGGGAGAGAGACAGAAACATCAATGATGCGAGTCATTGATCGGCTGCCTCCTGCACGCCCCCAACTGGGGGGATAGAGCCCACAACCTGGGCATGTGCCCTGAGAGGGTGGAAATTGAACCGGCGACCTCTTGGTGCACAGAGCCACACCGGCAGGCTATTTTTTTTTTAAGAGAGCGACAGACAGAGAAGCATAGACATGTTGTTCCACATATCCATGCACTCGTTAGTTGCCTCTTGCATGTGCCCTGACCAGGGACTGAAACCTCAACCTTGGCTTATCAGGATGACACTCTAACCAACTAAGCAACATGGTCATGGCCCAAATATGCCTAAGTACTAACCCCAGCACCTGTGTATGCGACCTTCTTTGGAAGAGGAACCTTGCAAATGTAATCAGCGTGGGTCCCAACCCCAATGCCTAGTGTCTTTAAAAAGGAAAGGGAGATTTGAGACAGGGAATTAGGCCACACGAGGGAGTTATGTGGCCATAAACCAAAGGCTGCTGGGTTACAGAAGGTAGGGAGGCAGGAACCAATAGAAAGCAGGAACCAAACCTGCCGACACCTTGACTTCGAACTTCTAGCCTCCAAAACTGTGACAGAATAAATTTCTGTTGTTAAGCTTCCCAGTTTGTGGCAAATGTTTCTGGCAGCCCTAGGAAACTCATACAACTTATTATAAATAATCCCCTCAGAGATATGCATCTTCACTCAAAGCAGGCTTCCAATGGCAAATGGATTTCATGCAGTGAATAAAAATGCTGTTGGAAATTAAAAAAGACGCTAACAAGGGCTCCTGGTGGCTAATTGGTTCAAATTTTAAAAACACAGAGCCTAGCAGACATTTCTGCACATTTCGGACATCTCTCACACAAACTACACAAAGAAGCCTGAGCTGGACTGCCTACCTCTGCGCTGAACTGCATCCCTTCCTTATAAAGCAGTTCCTGGCTACCTATTTCAACCAATAGCACTGATGCTTTCCCCTTCCAAGTAGCTCTGGCCAATCAGAACGGTGCCTTTTGGACCAATCAAACTGTGAGGATTTGGAGTCCTTGTTTGCATCAGGACAGGCCCATCAGGGACCAGGGGCAGGAACTTTGGTCCATATAAGCCAGCTCTCCTCAGAGCCAGAGACCCAATCCAGCACTTGCCTGTCAGTAACAGGCTTGCTCTGGTGGGCTTACCCCTAGTCAGCCCTGGCCGGGTAGCTCTGTTGGTTAGAGCATTGTTCCCAATAAGCCAAGCTTTCAGGTTTGATCCCAAGTCAGAGCACATATAAGAAGCAATCAATGAATGCATAAATAACTGGAAAGAAAAATCAATATCTGTCTCTCAAATCAATAAATTTTTTAATAACATGTATAATCACAACAACCTGGTAAGGAAGATGTCTGGGGTAAGTGAAATGCTTGAGCACGTACTATGTGCCCAGCACCAACCATCCTAGGACCAACTTTCCCCTAGGACCTGGGGAAAGCACATACTATAATATTCAGTGAACATTAGTTTCCCCACTTCTTCTATTTCTTTTTTTAAATCCTCACCCAAGGATATGTTTATTGATTTTAGAGAGGAGAGGAGAAAGGAACACTGATGGTAGAGAGAAACATCCATCGGCTGCCTCCCATACGTGCCGTGACTGGGAGTTGAACTCGCAACCTTTTTGGTGCATGGGATGAAACTCCAACCAGCCAAGCCACCTGCTGGGGACTCTTTTGTTTTGTTTTTTAATTCTTTTTTATTTCTCTCCCCTCTCCTACCTCATTTACTTATAAAGGTTATAGCTGGGCATCTAGGGCTGCTGACAAGACCACAGTCATTGACAAACTCATTTAACAATAATTCTCACCTTCTACTATGTGCAAGGTTGGGGCTGGGACCCCATGGTGAAAAGATGAATCTATAGCCTCCAGTATTCTGACTAGGCACCTGTAGATGCCCCATACACACTATAATTAAAATCCAGGCAGGCAGCACCCAGATCTTCCATTTGAACTCTTAATGTTCTTATACTTTCTACCATGTTTCTTCTGTTTTCTCTCACAGAAACCCCAGGGAAGACAGGAATGCCTGAGGAGTCAGGTTGGGATGGGGGGGCTAGAACAGATTACCTTCCACCTCTTTGGGACATCCAGAAGTGACTTTAAAGTTAGGGTGCAGTGCAGCCCTGAACTGCCAGGTGGAGCTCAACAAGGGGGTGCCACCTTCCTTTTTACCCCAGTACTGCTCCACAAGTCATTTTTCAAGAATCAAGTTAAAAATATTTGTCAATTCTCAGAACATTGACAGATAGCATCTATGGTACGCTTCTCCAAGATGAAATGCAGTGCTGTGGGGTGTTAAGTAACATAAATCTTTCTGGAAAAGTAATTCTGGCAATGGTGTCAAGAACTTTAAAAAGTGGAACTTTTTTAAAAGTTGGGAGGGAAATACACACTATGGACAGGTGCATATAAATAGATACAACTTCGTCAGAGGACGATCTGGCAACATCATAATTTTTGTGTAATTCTTCTTTGACCCAGCAATTCCCTTGTTAACAACAAAAACAAAAATGGATGTGCTTTGGTCCTTCACTAAGGTTCTGGTGAAATGAATGAGGGGACAGAAAAGACGATTACACCCTGGCCAGCGTGGCTCAGTTGGTTAAAGCATGGTCCCATACACTGAAAGGTGTCGGGTTCGATTCCCGGTCAGGGCACATACCCAGGTTGTGGGTTCAATCCCTGATGGGAGGGAACCGATGTCTGTCTGTCTCTCTCCCCCACCCCTAAAATCAATTAAAGAAAAAAACTTGTAGCCCAGCCAGCGTGGCTTAGCAGTTGAGCATCGACCTAGGATCCAGGAGATCGCGGTTCGATTCCCGGTCAGGGCACATGCCCAGGTTGCGGGCTCGATCCCCAGTCGGAGGTGTGCAGGACGCAGCTGGTCAGTGATGATTCTCTCATCACTGATGTTTCTCTCTCTCCCTTCCTCTTTGAAATCAATAGATATATTTTTAAAAAATTGTAGCCTACAAAATTAGACCTACATTATACATGCTACTCTATAGGACAACTGCCCAAGATATATTTCAAGAGAAAAAAAATAGGGTAGAACAGGATCTATATAATGTGTTGCAGATAAAGATATGAACATGTACATTGAAAACTTCTGAAATAAGAGAAATTACTGTGGCTGGTCTCTTGCTGTTGGAACATGGGCCAGTGCTTTGACATGGATGAAAAACTTTAAACTGTATACTTTTTCTACTATGGTTTCTTTTTAATTAACATGTTTATACCTCTTGTCTCAAACATTTCCAGAGAAACCTCCAGGAAAGCCCACCCCAAAATGCCTATTCCACTTTGTTAAGGGTGAGCAAAACCAACACCTCCTCCAAACAACAAAATACACACTTCGGACTCTTATACCTGAACTCATTTATCTTTGCAGCCACATAACCAAACAAGTCTTTGTCCCAAACTGAAACTGTGGAACCTGAGACTCAGAAACAATTAAGTGTCTCAATGGGACATACTGACAGTCAGAAAACAGAAGAGCAGGGCTTGTATTCTTAAAAACTATATGGACAGTAAAATTAGTGGCCTAATTTATCACGGTTTCTTCTAGAACAGAGTTTCTCAAACTTTGTTTTCATTTTACCTCTTTACGGGGGCTTATTTTTTTTCAAGCTTTTGGGTTATTTTATTTTAGTTATTTTAATCCTTACCCCAGGATATTTTTCCATTGCTTTTCAGAAATAGAGAAACAGTGATGTGAGAGATGCATCAGTTAGTTGCCCCTCTCCCTGACCAGGGTCAGGGATGGAGCCTGCAATTGGAGGTCTATGCCCTCGGCCGGAATCGAACCTGGGACAGTACCTCTCAGTGCTCAGGCTGACACTCTAACCACTGAACAAAACCAGTAAGGGTCCTATGGAGGCTTTTAAAGCATTTTTTTCCTAATCAGCCCCCACCATATTCAATGCCACAAATATATCGTATATCTGGTTTGTGCACTGCGGTACTTTGGAAGGCCACATAAAAGATTTTTTACTTTGCCCCCAAAACACTTTCCACCCCCTAAGGGGGTACTATTCCCTCACTGAAAATGCAGGTTTTCTAAAGCAGTCATTCTTAAACTGGGGTCCATAGAATTAGATAGGAAAAAAATTATCTTTCTTTTCACTAACTTGAACTAAAATTTAAAGTTTCTTTTAATCCTGAATGTAGGGAACACACCACACTATCACAGAACCTGAGAGTTTCTCATCAACAGAAAACAGATTTTTTTCATATGGTGTTAACGCTGTTGCATTACTGAAAATTCTGGTGGTTACCAGACCAGCTGCTAGATCTTATTGTGTTCCTACAGAAGCACGTGTCACTTTATCACAAATGTTTTTGTTTTTGAAAACTCTACCTCAATGCAATTTATTTCCCCGGAATTTCTATACATTTCCTTTTATGTATTTAAATACTTTCTGCTGAGAAGGGCTCTATGGCACAAAAAAGGTTAAGCTCCCCTGCTCTAGAAGGATCTAACAGTTCCAGGAGTGATTTACGACCTGAATACCAGCTTGCCTTCACTGTATACACAGGCTCGCCTCTTCTGTAGCCATACCAGCCACATCCCACTTGAATCTTAAAACAGCAGGAGCTCTGTTTGCTTGCGCAGTAAAAAGTACTTCTACATCCAGACCACCATTGGCAAATACCGAAACCGTATTTGCCAAAGAGCAAGGGGACTGTTATGAACAATTGCTGGGTACGCTGGAGTGAGCCCTTCCCAAAAGGAAAAAAAAAAGCAAAGTTCAGAGGATTACACAGCAAGTAGAGCTTGCATCCCTCCACCCCACCCCCACTCCGAATTTTAGGAATGTTATCTCCCAGCATCTAGTTATCCAATAAGTTGGAAGAATGCAGTAAACCCAGCAGGGGTCTTAGATTCAATCACTGCCAAATGGATAGAAAATACTCTTTCCATTGTAGAGGAAGAAAAGCTCATCTACCAGAGGCCAATCAAAT